CCCCCCCCCCCCCCCCCCCCCCCCCCCCCCCCCGGCTACGGGCCTGATCTACATGGGTCCTGATTATCACTAAGGGCTTTGTTTTCAGGAAGCTAACTGCAATTAACTTTAAAATATGTTACAGCATTACATTTTGCATTGCCTTTTAACTGAATTGAGATCCATTCACAACCATACTAATTTAGGCAGGAAATGGTCTTATTTAAAATCTACAGTTTAACTTGGTTTGGTTGTGAATGCACCTTGAACAGTTTATACTAGCTGCAGTGATCACTGATTCACACTTATCTGTTTGGAGTGTCTTTAATTCTTCAACTTTACTGCACAGGTAATTAGACTGAGTTTTTGAAATTTTCTTTTTCATAAATATTGTTTGTTGACTTTGTTGCAGAGATGTTATTTGATAATTGTTAATTTTACTATTTAATTGTACCTTTGCCAATTAAAACATTGTCAAAATAAAATTGATAGTGAAACATTAAGGCAGCCAATGAAGACAATTAGATGGCATACTAGATTGAACATTTAACTCAATTCAACTTGAATGCATTGCATTATACTTATATTTTTCTGTTTTTCATAGCAAAAAGAAGTAGCCAATTGGAAGCTGAGACCAGAGGATGAGGACAAGGAGGAGAACAAACCATTGTGTCCAGTAGCAGTATATGTACCCATACAAGCTTGGAAATGCATGTGCTTTTCCACTAATGCTGACTTCAGTTTAGAAAATCCGGGGCGGATTGAGGCAGTCTTCTGGGTCTTTCAGAAGATGGTCAGATTTTCAAGTTTACATTGATGGGTATCTAATTTTGGATAGCTAGAGGATGGATCTACAAGGATACTTTGGAAGACTGTCAGAAAATTTCTCTGGAACCGTCCCTGAAAATGCTATTTTAAACTACCAGGCTATGATGGAATTGACTGCTGAACCTCCTGTTTTAATTGTGTCAAATTGTTAATGTTGTTTTTTAAGTTTGTCTTATATTAAGATTATATTTAAGTTCATCTGTTTTGTTTGATAACATGGCATACGGAAAATCAAAATTAATCTTTGATGGCAATTTATGTTCTCAGTTTATTTATTTTTGTCATACTTTTATAATTAATTCATATTTTAAAACAACTCCGAGTTCATAAATAGTGGCATTTTGTAAAGCATTAATTTTTTAATGTGTAATCAAATTAAATCAAATCAAATTTCTGAAACAACAGAATTAGTTGAGGTCAATCTCACAGTCTTCCGAGCACACCATTTTGCAAATAAGCAGAGCCCTAGTGTGAAATGTTTTCAAAACACCCTGAGTCTAAAGACGGGCATTGAATAGATGTAAGTTGAGTTTTTACTTAGCGAGGAGACATTCATATTGCTTAAAATTAAATAGAGTTGGCATTGTTTACAATACTCAGGGTTTTGTCTCCATGACTGTGAAGTGCAGGTGCTGAGACATAGCAAATGACAATTGTTACCATTTTTTTTTTGTTTCATGTACCAAGCAAGACACTTGTTCATTTATGAACTTCATTGTTTCATGTTCAGTATTGTTTATTATTGAATCAAATGTGTTTGAAGTATATTTTTGCAGCAATTTTTTTAATAAATCAAGTTTTGCATTAAAGTAATTCTGTTGTATTATCTTTTATCTCTGCTTTCCTGGAAGCCCTTACTACAAGCTTAGTGATGGCTCTTGGAGAAAAATTAGTAACAAAAAATAAGATTCGGTTTTTAGATAAATGGCTTTATTCATGCAAACTTTAATAGGTATATTTTATTAATATTTAAAGTAGGTTTATAATCAGTAACTGTGAGCTGAATAAAGCTGCCGGACAAGTTAAATAACTACAAGCATATACTCTCAGTTAATAGTACATGAAGTTCATTAGAAGCATCGGGTCTATAAGATACAGTATATTCTACTATATTTGCTTGTTAGAAACTCTTCTTAGATATTCCACTTTCTTTAATTGAAACAGTACAAAAAAATAGCACAAAATGATCACAAATGCAACTGAACATTGACTTAAGTTACTAGAAATTACAGGGATGCGTAGTCTAGTGGTAATGTGACCAGGCAGTACCCTTACTGAACTTCTTTTCAACTGCTTATCTAAGTACAAGGTTTTGATCAACTGAGGTTATCAGTTCTTGAATAACCTTCAATCACAAGATCCGATTTTCATACCGTGACTAGTTGAGATCATTGAAATAACCACTTCTGACAAATGACAAGACTAAATGCTACTAAATATGGTGCTCTTCAATTATATATATCCTCAATACAATCTTCATTCACCTTTACATAGAGAGTAAGGGAAGCGACTTATTAAAATCTTATTTCACCCTTCAGTACATTTCATCTCTTCATCATGCAGCCATTAGGTCTATAAGTATCACACATTCATTTAAAATTCTAGTTATATATTTAAAGCAGTTACTTATTTACAACAAATGACCCAAAAAGATCATTTGACAAACAGTGATATGACGATTTGAATATCCCTCTGGACAAGTCTTTCTTACATATAAGTAACAGCTCGATGCATGAATCTTATCTGGGTTTATTAATAAATCTTGTTAAAAAAAAACTTCCTTAAAACTGATTTGGAGTAATGGTTCACCACCGTGGTTGTCAGGAATGATGATTTGTACAATGATTCTGACTTTTGCACATAAATTTACACTTTTCTTAAAAGGGTGAACTTAAGTGGAATCACCAGTATACATGTATATGTATAAAGTTAATATTAATAATATAATATAGTAATGTACTATAATAAGAAATCTCAAAATTATTAGTAATGTACTATAATAAGAAATCTCAAAATTATTTTTTTTTCTTCCATATATGTACCAACTTCCCTAAATTTAACAAATGCGAGGATATGGCCAGTGCTGTTACCCATATGAACTTAATTGATACTAAGATTCATTATCCCTTTTACATGAACATACCCTAATGCATGAGACTGTTGAACTATCACAAATTAAATATCTTAATACAGAAGTATACACGTGGGAAAATTTGACAGCATTTCACCATATAAGTATTTCAGTAAACATCATTGCCAATGCCCCAAAAAGATGACTTGTGGTAGTATCCTTTTGAATTCTGAAGTATGCAGATCACAGCAGAAGCTGAAAATGTACATGGGTGTACACCTGTAGGTTACTGTGTTTCGATACAAAATTTATTAGAACAGACACGATTTTTCCTTTTATCTTACACACGTACCACATGATATGACTTTGCACAATGAGACTGTGAGACACAAACATTAACTAATTATTTTCTTAGCAATTTCTCTCAGCAAATGGAATATGATCATAACATACATTGAGCAGTTTCAAGAATGCTTGAAGCACATTTTAATACCAAGTCTAGATATAATATAAATACTCATAGCTTTTTAAATTACAATTATAACCCATTTTAATAACGCTACACTGCAAGAGTAGGGAACTATCATTCTAATTTGTTAATTTGGGCCCTGCAGGTGTTAAATGCTCAACTGTACTAACATAATTCCTGTGCTACATTTAACGTACAAGGTTTCATGCAATTTGATACAGAATGTAAAAGTTTATATGTTCAGTGGGGGTACATGAGGTGGGTGTGTGTGTGTGTGTGTGTGTGTGTGTTTCTTACCCTATACCTTTACACTAAAATGCATCAACTACCTCTCTTAATGGGACTAGATTTCATTTTTTTGTGAAGACTAATAACGTGCAAGAATTATAAAACCTGGAAGACTCCAATTTCTCAAGATGGAGCAGAATACGAGGTGAAGGACTAACAGGAGTATAAATGCATACAGAATTCTCACTCAAGGAATAAAACTCCTCAAGCTCTGGCTGTTCAATGTGATATAAAGCAAGTAGGGAGATGTACCAGAATTTTATACTGCCACAAACAAATACACATTAATGCCATGGACATCTCCAAAGGTACAATACAAACATTCATTTAACAGCTGTGCACTTCAATTTGAAGACCATCTCCAGAGCTGTGATCGATATGTTTATCATAATTTGTGCAAATTAACAAGAACAGGAAGCGTATATATTAAGCCCATATTCAGCATGTACAAATTAAGTATTCATAAAATAATAAGAATACACAAGGAAGTTTGTGTGCCTGATTAATACCCATTGCACTGACAATAGTCTACTTATGCGACCTGTCCTTGCTGACAAATATGGTTGATTGTCTTTGGGTAAAATCTCCTGAAGTTGAGTGTGCCAGCTACAGCTGCAAGCCAGCTGTACATTTTGTTTAACCGTTTTCGCATTATTGCACAAAAATTGAGATTGGTGTCAATTTATTATATTAATCTTCCAATGAAATAAATTACTGACCCAATGGTTAATGATAATTTTTTCCATAGTTATTTCCATGATACAAGATTCATCTGTGATATGTATATCATTTTGTATATTAAGGCAATGTTTTCTAGGGCTCGTGTTGTCTTTTCTGAATGACCATGTAACTGTACAGCAAGACTTCATCGTCATACGTATATACATGTAGCACTGCCGTAGCCTGCGGTTGACCCAAATTAGAAAGCTGGTTATTCATAAACTAGAAGCTATAAAACACTGCAATCAAATAATTTTTTCAAACTCTTTTCAAACCAAGTTGTCATTGAGAATGGCATAACAACAACGTTTATGAATGTATGCTTCTCATAAATTCCAAATGTCCATCAAATTCAGGATGAACCACCAACGTACAACATCAGTGACTTTATCTCCTGTACCAAAAGTTAAAATCTCGAGCTTGCTTTAATTTTACCAACTTTGGCAACAACACAGAATGGTGCATGGTTAAGACATGTCTTTGTGCTGTGCAGCAATATAAGCCCTCCTATCATAGCCAATGATGACAAGTTACATATTTGGTGCAGGGTAGGATTCCTTGACCAATGAAAACTGAAAATGCAATCTCTTTCTCATTTTTGCTCATAAACTGCCACCAGGTGACAGCACTGGTATGGTTAGCTCTTGCTGTTTTTCTTCTTAGGAACAAGAGTTCCAAAAACAGATTTTAATGTAGCACCAATACCCTGGAAAATATGATTTGTCTAAATTATAAAATGAATCCATATATTTAGTAGCGAAACAATATCAAAATTGCCAACTTAAGTAAACGTGTATAAACAATTAAGAATTGTACACATTTTCAATTAATAAATTTTGATTGTTCTATTGTTTATAAAAATGACTAACGCTCCAAAGCTCTCTACTTTATAAGAATGATAAAGTTGGCAACCTGGCAGTTCAATAAATATTAGCAATTGAATGTAATAGACTTTATCTAAATTCAATATTCAAGAACTACATAATTATAAGTACATTATACAATAAAAACAATATTTTAGAAGCTGCAGAATAAAGATTGATTGACCATTAAGGTTAGAAATTTACAGGGCTGAGAAACATATTTTTCACTTTCGTTTAAAACTATAATACGCAGTTCTGATACCCCACTGTCTCAGTGTGATAATCATGCACATACCTTGCTTTGCTGTTGTTTCTTGTGGTCAGGTGTTTGTGGGTGGGCATCCAGGCATTTCTGATACCGCAGCTACAACAACAATAACATGGGATTGGTTTAAAATGACATGTATGTAACACCAATAAAATATTAATGGAAATAAGCCATTATAGTTTGGTGATAGATTCCCAATGAGATATAGTTCAACATGTCTGCATAAAATGGTACTAGTACTTGGAACTTATAAAGGGATTATTGAACTACAGCATTCCTCATACAGTAATAGTACGCAAATGCATGGATTCAAAATATACTGGAAAACTTATAATTACATGTCACTACACAATGAAAGTTTAATTTATTAATAACAGTTTTTTTTCATTTATGGTTACATTTACTTATAAAGAGCTCTCAAAATTAAAGTGTTCAATTTCATATATCTAATTTACTAAAGTACTAAATGAAAAAGCTATGATGCCTATTTTATGGAAAATACAGTAACTCATATAGCAAACTAGCCTAAATTTATTTTAAGCTATCCACATCAGAGACAAATAATTTGCACATGCTGTAAGCACTTTAACAACATTCAAAAGGTAATAAATAAATAAATAAATAAATAAATAAATAAATAAATAAATAAAGAACTGTATCACAATTAGCACTGCAATACAACTCATTCAACACCCGTCACCTGATGAAATATGTTGGATAAAAATCCTAAAGCCATGTTCATCAGAAACATTCCATTCATAGTGAATCAATTAAATCATTATTACTTTGCTGGGTAGAGAATTTCAATATAAACAGAGGTACACTGCAGGAAGAAGCAATTTGATATGAATCTAGGCCCTCTCATATCCACTTCCTGTAAGATTGCATGAGATTAAAGCCGGTGTCCTGGTTAAAAAAAAAAAAAAAAAAAAAAAAACATTGGGCAGCTTTGAAAGTTTATTTGGTGACAGCCATGTTTTGGATTGTCTTTTGAGCAATTTCAGACAATACACTTCTTAAACAAAATGATCTGGATGATTTCAAGGTTCTCCACTGGAATGCAGGACAATTGTATGTGAGAGGATTTAGATTTTTTTACATTGAGGAAGAAGGAACAAGAAAATTGAGGGAGAATCAGAATTTGCTTGTAATTTTTGGACAGCTAAAAATGACTGAAAGTCTGCATATCATATATATTTATGTTAAACAACAAAGAAAAGGAGTCAGATTTTATGAAAATAAATGGTTAAATTTGGAAAATCAAATGGGAGAGAATACAGCAATATTTTGAAAAATTACATTAGTCCTCATAGTATAGGATAAAAACACTTCTAAAATTGAAGGCTTAATAATATTCCTTTCTAATCAACATGGCCTCAAAAATCATTTTTACCTCAGCCGGAGCAGGGTGTGAATCGAGAAGTTTGGTGAATCGAAGCTGTAACAAAATATCACACAAATGTATGAAAACATGCAATAGATTACTCAATTTCTACACAAAAAACTAAAACTTTGATGCTGACATATATCTACTACTGTGAGGTAAAATGTAGCACAAAATATGCTGTCCTAAATCTATTATCACTGGTAACAGAGGGACATCTAAGTACAATCTGTCAAACTCATATAACTATTATATATATAATATAAAATAATGTATATACATATAATACTGGTACTCCTATGTTGAAGCGTTATGCAATAAGTCTATCCAAATATGCTACCAATTTTCTAACAACTTACTAGATATAAACATGCACATTCTCATATGCACTGAGAAAAATTAAGCAATGTTTTAAGGAGAAATAGGACATGCATCTCTTAAACATGTATATTTAGATCAACAACAACAATGATGATATTAAATGGTGAAATATACTGACAGTGTACTGTCAAACTGCATATCAGGAACGCACTAAACTAGAATCATTCACAAATGTTCATGCAAAAATGAATAAATAGTTGATGAGAAAAACTAACACAAAAATTGCAAAAAAAAAAAAAAAAAAAAAAAAAAAAAAGAAAAAAAAACTTTAAAAATTATTTTTGGTACAAGAAAGTTGGAAGGGGAGGGGTGTCCTGTAAAAACATGCCCTATTTCCCACTGAAAGTGTGAATAATGTGTGTCTAGAACATATTTTGTCTTAATTTCTCTCTATATTGTTACCTTACAAGCTGCTTCAATAGTTTTACAAAGGGCACCTGCAGAAGGCTCACAGTGGAATGCATGGGCGATATAGTGGTCATTGGCATTGTGCATTATGTACCCACAAAGTCTGAAAAACAGGGAGAAAAACTTCAGTTTACACCTATATAAAAATACCTAGATAAAAACAAAATATTTGGGTTTGTAAAAAAATGATGAATTGCCTGACAAATAATAATTCAATTTCCAAACACTATCATGTAGATAGTAAATGTTACTGAATCAAATGAAATTGGGTCTTGTACTGTAATAGGTTAATCGTTCAATATTTTCAGTATAAGTAAAGGAAATAAGTTGAGAAAATAATTGTTGCAATTTCACTTACTTTACATTTTTCATGGCTATTCCCATGAAAGACAGGAAGCGAACTCTGCTTTCCACCAAAATGTTCTCAGCTTTCTGTTAAAATAATAATAATAATAATGATAATAAATATGTATATGTATTGCACCTTTCTATGATGAAAACCAGTAGTGTTGTCATAGTAATTTGGAGCAAAGCAATAAAATTACAGCTCATTAATTTAAGGATTTTTTTCTATGTTAACTTATTTTTTCTACATCAGACAAAACAACATTTAATCAAATAGTCACATCTTCACATTCATCTAAGAGAAATGTGAGTGGAAGGCTCTGTTACACTGATAAAATATGTAAAATCAGATGCTAGAATAATAATAATAATAATAAAACAAGTACTATAACATTTTACCAAGTATGAAGTCTTTTCAAATTCCCAAGCAATGAAAGTGAAATCCAATAGCATTTTACAGATTGAGTTCTTACCTTGTGTTCACTTATTGTGATAGTAGAGGGTGCCACGCCCACATCCACGAAGACCCACTTCTCCGGCGGCACCTTGGCGTATATCCTATCAATAGCTGCATTCAGGACATCAACGCCTGTGGGTTTATGTACAACTGCGGAGCCAAGGTAATGGCACTTGATCACTTTCTTTGGCTCCTCCATTGGAGTGGGGAAAGCCGCATCTAAAAAGAGAAGACTCAAATCCAGAATAGATTTTCTACCTCTCCAGGCAAGATGCCATTTGGCGTTTTGCCTCAAGTGAGATTTCAGTTGGAAGCCTGCCTGGGAAGGAAAGATTATTTCTGGTTTTGCCAGCCAACTGGGATTTCATCTAATGGACATTCAGATCCAAATATACCAAACACCCAACTGTGTAATTGCTAGTTTGGTAGTGCAGATAAAGCAGAAAACTGGTTACAGTAGCTGTATCTGTTTGAGATATGAGAGCATAAAAATAAAGCATCCAAAGCCATATCGATTTCCTGTACACAACAGAAACCAAATATATGTTACTTAGTATTTGTTGAACCCTGAAAATCAATTTGACTTTAAGTCTACCAACTGAACTAAGTTTTCAAATAAAAGAAATTTAGCATGTACATACAATAGGTAATATTTAGATAAAACTGCAAGTGCATATGGCAATAACTGCAGTCTTTCACAACTTAAAATACAATATGATAAACAAAAACTGTACTATAGACATCATAGTTCACAATTTGTAAATTGTCTCACACAAGGAAATTTCCTTACTTTGATACAAACTCTCGAATGTAATTTTCTGTCCGTTTGTGTCACTGGTCTTCTTCAAGTTGGGTAAATTGTCTGGCCTGGCCACGCTCATCTTCTGCAAAGCAGTGCCATTGGCAGCAGCTTGCGCATCCTCTTTTTTCTCAGCTAAAATCTTTTGGCAAATGTCTCTTAGGGTATTTGCAATCTGTCTTGCTGGTGTATCGCAACGAAACACGTGGCACATGTGCTTCCGCGTGACAGGATCCCTTGCAACATATGCAAAATCCCTGCAAGAAAGTAATAAATTAAAATACATATTATATTTTCAAAGCTGCGTTTCTTTGGAAACATTTTATATAGGGCTTTCGAATAAATAATTCCCTTACAACCCAAAGACCCCCCCCCCCCAAAAAAAAATGTTTATATTGTCCTCTGAATACAACATACAATACAGGGTATATTTCAGATACAATGCCTTATAATAAAACTTCACTAAAATGCAGATTCCGTCTTTCAAAATACATACATACATTTAACATGACAAAAAACAAACAAAAAAGATACATATAAGGTCAATGCTTGTTTTGTATATCATTCTCAGATCATATCATGCCTCAGATCAAAGGTAACCAAATGACAATTCCTAAAAATCCAAGAACCTTCCCCTACATTTACTGTGCTTTAGAAAGAAACACAAACAATGATCAGCAAATCATCTGACAACTCATGACATATTTAAATACTGTTAAGAACATAGCAAATGAAGCAAACGAAGCACAATGTAAAACAAGCCAAAATCTAACATCTGCACCCTGAGCATCAAAGTTCACTGGAAACTCACCTCTCTACTATCAGTTTGCCTCTGCTGATAGTAGACAAATGAGCTTCCTAAAAATTGAAACTCGGGGTGACAAGATCTCAATTGGCTGACATTTTTCATGTCTATACATGTAGAAGCCAAAAACAGTATATTCTCAGGGTCACATATAATAAATATGAATGCATACAGTAACCATAACCATTCTGTAAGTATGGGGAAATGAGAATTTCCTTAATTACAACATTTATTCGGCACATTTTATGACAGGAACAAAACCATGTGATTTGACATTTAAGGTATTAAAACAATTTCAATACGAATATACCATAAAGGCCACTTGAAATTAACTTTGAACCAAAAGACAAAAATCACTGGAAATGTACAGGAAATAAATTTGACCAAGGAACATTTGATTTTATTTTCATTAAAAAAAAAAGTTTTAAAAAAGTACATGGAGACAACCATCCAACAAGAGTAAGTGTAGCATTCTATGTATATGCAAAATAAATTTAAGCAACCTAAAAGTTGAAAGGCAAGGATGATTATAAATATCAACATTTTTCCAGCTTTTTCGCCAGAACGAAGCTTAATAATCACATCTTTTCCTTTAAGCTAACATTCAAAGTGAACATGTTACATTTTAAATAACCACATGTAAAAGCATTAGAGCTGGATGCTTGGAACATTAAGAGCACATGTATATACCTAAAGCTTGCCAAAGAATTTAAATCTTGACAGAAACTAGAAAACAGATATTTCCAGTTACACATAAACATAATTAAGTGCCCTGATTCCTTGGTTCAAAAAGATCCTTTTCATTAATTGTTTTTGAAAAGTTTCAGAATCTTACACTTAATAATTACAGGGTTGCGGATTATAATAACCTAAAATTTTTCAACACAATGCCATTCATTTTCAGGAAATATCAAAATTTCAATAACATCGCCAATGATTCCTTAATATATGTATTTTTTTAAAAACTAAATATTTGGCGATAAAAAAATTTAGAAAACTATTCCAGAGTTTCTGTCAAGATGGATTCATATCATTAGCTTAGAGAGAGAACATTCAGCTTGAAGAACATTTGGTTAATACTCTGTCAGAGTCCAACATCAATGGTTACCTCTCTCTAGTAAGCATGGGAGAAAGTTTGCAAAGTTTTATTGAACTCATTGGGTTAACACACTGCACAGATATAATTTTTGAAGCAGATAATCAAGATTT